CCTCTAGAGTTCGTACGAGTCACTTCTTGAGTCCATACATCTCTTCTATTCTGTACTATAGTTATGATTATTTTGTATTATATGTCAAATTATTCTCGTATTATATATTATGTATTTTGATATCAAGTTTTGTTTAGCCAATAATTATCCATGGTGATTTTATGTCATTATGTTTTTGGTATAATATTTCTCACTCTGCCGTGTGTTTATAGTTATTTATTACTTTTAGGTGACATGTTAGGGCCAACGTGTGGGGTAGGTACAAAGCACTTTGTAGACATAGTTCAGCTATGACAATTTAATTAAATAGAAGTTTCAATAATTATTTTAGTACCCTCACTTAAATTTTTTTTTTCTCTCGCGTTTAGTAATTTGTTTAAGAATTGGCCGGAGATAACTTTAGTTATTGGCCATCACGATACTTAACTCTTAGATACGAAAATTATTGGCCATCGTGATACTTAACTCTTGAATACGGAGAGCGAGTCGTGACATGTTATATTGTTTTGTCTTTGTTTATGTTGTTGAGTTGTTAATGTCAGTTAATTTCTCTACCTTATATGTAGTTTTGTAACGAAATGAATTTTTTTTTTCTTTACAAAAAAAGACAAAAATATATGATGTAGAGTGCACTGATAATAAATAACTAAACTAAAGAAGAAATGAACAAATTCTGGAGAAATAAACACCAAAAAGATATCAAGGCCTTGTTTGGTTTTATTCACAAAACATAATTTTCGAAAAAAAATTTTTTTGGTTGGAAATTTTTTTAATTTTTTTTTTCAAAATCACTTTTTCTCTCTCCTCTCTCATTCTTAATTATTTTTTCTCTCTCCCCTCTCATTCTTAATTATTTTTTTTCTCATGCACATCTATTCAACTACAACAAAATATCAAATCATCTCAAACTCTCATACTCCAAAACTATTTTCAAAATATACAACCAAATAAACCAAAAAAATTTCTAAACTCTTTTCTCAAGATTTTTTTTAAAAAATTTATCTCTCAAAATCAAACCAAACGCACCCCAAATTTCTCTCCTTTTGAGTTGAATTTGTAACCTCACCCTACAAAATCATGCTACACAATCATTAAGCTAAAGCCCTGCTTGAATGCCTGTAATTGAGTGTTCCAAAATTCATAATCAGAATGGAATGGTTTATGAATACTTTGAGATGGTAGGCACATGTGAATGGTAGACTAGTTAATCTTCTTATAAGGAGAAGTAATTTTTTTTCTGTTACAGTAAGAGGAGAAGTAATTTGACTCATATGAAAATTGAAAAAATAAAATAAAATAGAGCAAAGGTAAAGAGAATATTTGATGAAGTGAGAAGAAATATATGGCTAACTTAAATTTAACTGATATAAATTTAATTTAGAATCAAGTGGAAGACATAGGTCCATATAGTCAAGTCAAAACAATTATACAGAAGATTTGTTCAGTTGAGTTGAATGTGAGAAATTTTTTTTTTTACTGAAAAGCTATATATTTAGGAAAGTACTCCATAAAGTTCATATAAAAAAGAAAAAAATTCACTTTCCTGAAATTTTTGAAAAATAATCATAAATAAGTGATAAACTTTATAAATATTAATAATTAAAATTATGAACTTTTTCATGAATCTGTAATAAGTTTTTGAAACTATCACAAGATGACAATTTCCTCTAAAATTAACTATATGATGTATACACATTCGAATCCCAAAAATAAATATGATTAGCATACTACTTTATTTTCTAGTTATTTTCTGGTAACTTTTTTTTTTGGAAATATTCTTGATGTCTTCATTTTGTAAATCAAAATTCGACTAAGGTCACCTTTATAATTGAGCACAAGCATGATGAGTTTATTTTCACTATTTATTGACTCTACTGGAGACAATTAACCAATCATGTAAAAATTCTAATATCTCATCCCATTCCATGGGCTAAAAAGTGCTGAATTTTGACCCTCCAAATGGTTCAACATTACACACCTAAAAGACTATTGAGGAATCAATAGTTTACTTCACTATAGGTCCCATGTTATCACTAATTATAAATTTACATCATACATTCATTTTTAAAACAAGATTCTAGACAAATTTTCATAATTCATAGCATTTTTGTTTTAATCAATCTATATAGCATTAATTAATAACTCCAAAGCCAATTTATGTGTTCCAAATTCTCTTTGAAACGGTGAACTTTGTTAACTTTACTTATTTATTTATTTATTTTTATTATACTGGCTATTCATTTTTTAATGAAAAATGCCATACAACAAATTTTACTAATTTGTACTTAATAAAATTTTAGTATTTAAAACTGGATCCACTAGAAAAATATGACAAAGACAACTTAATACTCACAAAAAAAAAAAAAGAAAAAAAAAATTTGTGAGATTTGCAAGTTGTATAAATGTTGGAAAATTTGTTCAATTAATAGATCAAATTCCCATATTGCAAGATATCAATAACATGGTGTGTCCTTAATCATATCAAATTTTTGTCACCTACAAACTGCAAATAAATTTGTCTAGTTATTTACTGTAGTGTAAAGAATAATTACGTATGACTTGAAAGAGTTAGTGAATTATGTGGTTGAAAATTATCCAAAAATTTTGAATACTAACTAGTCAACAAAATTTGAAATTTCTTGCAAACTATCTATGTTGACTAAGTTGGTGAGACATATTTGTGATGAAAAATTATTAGATTATCTTGTAATAGTATATGATATTTATATACGTGATGTTTATATTTACAACAATGATTCATCCCCCCTTTTCCTCCCACCCCCTTTGACCCCCTCTCTCTCATTGGTTACATTTTCTTTTTCTTTTTCTTTCCTGCTCCTCCAATCGCCACCCGCCACGTGGCAAGGGGGGGTGAGGGGATAACCCCCAAAAGGGGGTCCCAAGCATTATTCTTATATTTATATCTTGTAATACATGATCTTGTAATAATTCATTATCTCCTAATTAAACAAAATTGACTTGGCGCAAATCCTACTCGTAAAATTGTCTATTAGGTGAATAAATTGGACCACTACATAAGTAATGATATATGGCACTACAAAAAAAAAAAATTAAAGTTTTAGAAACAAAAATTTAGGAATAAAATCATTTTTTAGGGACAAAACATTTTGTCACCAAAAGTGTTATTATTTTATTTAAGCCACAAAATTGAACATTTAGTGATGAATTACTAATCTTTTGGGACCAAGTTATTTTATCTCCAAAAGAGCATTTATTAGCAACATTTTCAAAATTTTGTTACTAAAATCTCTTTTTTTTTTTAATTTATATATATATATATATATATAACTTTTGGGGACGACTTTTTATCAACTGTCCTTGTGACTACTAAAATTAGTCTTTAAATATTTTTTACAATAAAATTTACATTTAGAGATAAAAAAAGGGATTTTTATTGATAAAATCTCATTTAGAAGCGTTCTAATCCAAGAAGCCTATGAAGAAATTTTTTAACTCACTTTAGTCCCATGTATTTATACTTTTATTTCATAAAGTCATTTTTCTTGATTTACACTATTTTCTTAGACTTTTATGTCTTTATATTTAATACTGATATTTAATATTAGGGGGATGAGAGAGAAGGGAAATGATCAAAGTATAGAAGACTTCATACACAAATTAAATAACATTAATGTTATTATTTTATATTGTTATATAATGTGAAAATATTTTTAATTGACAACATATTAAAAATAATGTGAATATTCTCTCTCATCTGATGTGAATATATTTTTAATTGACAACACATTAAAAATAATGTGAATACTTTCTCTCATATAATGTGAACGTTCACAACACATTTTCGAAAAATTCTCTCTCATCTAATGTAGTGATGTAAACTTTCTTACTTTTAATTGACAATACATTAAAAATAACGTTCATTAGATTTTTAATTGACAACACATTCTTGTTCACAACATGTAGTGATGTGAATGTTCACAACATGTGAACATTCTCTCTCATTTAATGTAGTGATGTGAATATTCACGTTCGTATGTTTTAGTATGAATATTCACATTATGTAATTGATAACACAATGACAAAAATTCATTTTAAATTAATGTGAATATTCATTTTAATTATATGATATGAATATTCATATCATGTAAATTGACAGCATAATGACAAAAATTCATTTCAAATTAATATAAATATAATGACAGTCAACATTTTAATGCACGAGAACTATCAAAATATAATGACAATTAACATTAAATATCAACATTAATAGGGGTAGAAGAGATTGAGGGTGTTTTGGTCTTCTTACCTCAAATAGGATCTAATAGAATAGTAAAAAAGAATATAGCTTGGATGAAATAAAGTTCTTAGAAAAAGAATTTATCAAAAAAAAGCTCCAAAAAAAAAAAAAAAAAAAACTTAATTTATAAAACTTTTATATGTTATAGTGTGGTAGACCACTTAAGACATTATTGGTGATACTGCAAATTTCAATCTCCTAAGTGACTACAAAACCGTTTTTAGTATCCTTCTGTTCTGTCATTCAAAGAAAATAACATAAACAAAAAGAGAATGATAAAATTTATCTTATATAAATTTTTTTATACAGAAAATTCTACTTAAATAATATGTATCATTTTAGATTATTAGATTAAGAAAATTAACGCAATTTGCAAATCTGTTTAGTGTAGCTTGTGATAATCTGTGATGACAGTTAAACTTATATGATTAAATAAGACTGCCATATAACTTTTTTATTGTGCAAATATTCAAAATGTCCTATAAAATTATAATTAAGACATAAAGATAAAACTCTTTTTCTAGATAAAATAACTCGGTCTGAACCCGAGCCTTTGCCACAATAGGATGCTAGCCCACACCTAGGCCAGCATATAAAAATGTGTCCAGATCCTCAGCCGCACAAGCTTGCCGCCATCCCTACCGTACCCCCAAAACGACGTCGTTTTGGGAAAAATTTCAATTTTTTTTTAGAAAAAAAGCAGAACAAAAACCAGAGGGGAGGGGAAGAAGAGAGAGAGGAAGGGAGAAGAAGAGAGAAGAAGGAAGAGGGCGCCGCCGCAGTGGCCGGTGGCGCAGTGGCCTCTGAAGGTGGCGAGGTCATGTAATGAACAGTATAGATTAATGGGTAATAGTTCTATCACCATCTTGGTTGTCTATATATATATATATATATATGTATAAAGTACACCCATGTTAGAAAAAACCGAGTACAAAGCGGGCCACAACTTTCTCACATCAACAACACTGCAAATTATCTATCTCCATTATCATCTTTTGTTCTTGTTTATTGATTTTGATTTGGGTTTTTCTTTCTCTTGATTGAGCTTATTGGGTTTGGATTTATTTACATATAGAGAGAAGATGAATCATCTGATTTTTCGATCCATTTTTGATACGATGAGTGGGAGGAGAATATGAAGAAGAGTTGATCCATTTCTGGGCTACATCGGAATTGATTTTAAGAAAGAAAAAAAAATAAAAAAAAGGGATTTTGGAAGAAGGGTTTTGGATTTAGGAGGGAGAAGATATATGGGTTGTTTTTTGTGTTTTGATTCAAGGGAAGATGAAAAACCCAATCTTCATAATGAAAGAGGTCATCCTAATGAAAGCCTCGCAAGAGCTCCTTCCAACATATCTAGATTGTGTTCTGGTTAGTCTCCTCTCTCTCTCTCTCTCTCTATGTGCATAGTTGTTTGATTTGGGCATCTCGGTTTTGTCAGTAACTTTCATATTTGTTTTTTCAAATTATTTTGGTTGATTTAATCTAATCAGATTGATGATGTTTTCTTTTTGTTTAATTTGATATAGACCCAACAAAATTTAGTTGCAGTTCACTCCCTTCTTTTCCCCTTTTCTTCTCCCTTCCTCTCTCTTTTCTTCTCCTCTCCTCCCCTTTGGTTTCTGTGATTTTTTTTTTTTTAAAATTGAAATTTCCCTCAAAATGACGTCGTTTTGGGGTGCCGCAGGGATGGCTGCAGGTTTATGTGGCTGAAGATTCGGACTCTATAAAAATTGCAAAACTAGATAACCTATCTTGCTTGGATTTTTTTAATAAATCTTTATTTTTTTTTAATTTAAACAAAATTTTAAGCCTCTGGTGTATAAAACGAATTTTATGCTGGTTATAATTAAGGCAAAAAAAACAAAACTTTTTTGTACACATATTTAAGTGTTTTAAATAAGTTAAAAACTCTACACATTATGGCTTAAAGATTTTATTTATTTATTTTTGGATGCCAAATAAGCTAGGGTTGAACAAATTATAATTTAAAATTACAACTAAACATGATTCATTAACTTTTTTAAATCATATTCTAAATAAATTGATTTATAATAAGTGCTGCCAACTGGAATCAATTGTTGGAATAAATTCTCATATGTACTATCTAAACACATAAATAATTGTACCAAATATATTATCAAATTATATAAAAAAAAATATAAGTTGAAAATAACGTAAATTGTTTGGATAAAATCAAACCATACTATATACAAGGAACAGGAAATACTTACAGATAGATTGTATAAATTTAGAAACATTATCAAATTTGATTGAGACTTGTGCTGAACACAATTTTCTTAAGACAAATTCGTCCACCGCTACGGTGTTTACGAGATTTTAACGAACGTTCGTCTTCTAAGATACAACGATTGAATCTTGCAAAAACCGCACTGACGGCAGAGAACTTGATGGAAAGAGGATGATGTTGGTTAGCAAAGATAACGGAGTTGTGATGAAGCTTGATTTGGAGCTGGAGGACGATGAGGTGGAGGAGTTTTATGCGATTTTGAGGTGGATACATGTGCAATTAAATACTTTGAGAAGGGTTGTGGCGGCAATGGAGGTCGTCGCCTCCGTGAGATGGTGGTGGAGGCGTCGTCCAAGTGGAGCACACCATCATTCGAGCAAGAAGATTTTGGGAAAGTGGAGGCAAAGGCGGAGGTAGGCTGGGTCAAAGAGGTAAAGAAGGACACAGGTTTGAATCTTAACGTCGACCCACTAGAATCCGAAGATTAACACTATAAAAGTTTCTATCAACAAACACGGAGAACTTGATGGAAAAAGGATGAGGTTGGTTAGCAAAGATAACAGAGTTGTGACGAAGCTTGATCTGGAGCTGGAGGACGATGAGGTGGAGGAGTGTTATGCGATTTTGAGGTGGATACATGTGGCAGTCAAGTACTTTGAGAAGGGTTATGGCGGCAACAGAGGTCGTCACCTCCGTGAGATGGTGGCAAAGGCGTCGTCCAAGTGGAGCACTCCATTATTCGAGCAAGAAGATTTTGAGAAAGTGGAGGCAGAGGTAGAGGCAGAGGCAGAGGCAGAGGTAGGCCGGGTCAAAGCGGTAAAGAAGGACAAAAGTTTGAATCTTAACGCCAACCCACTAGAATCCGAAGATTAACACTATAAAAGTTTTTACCAACAAACACAGAGATACATCAGATTGTTATATAAACAGAATTAGAATAAAAAAATTATATTATATTTTGTAATTTAGAATTATTTTAAGCTAGATTACAAAATATAGACCTTTTGTATATATGTTTTTCAGAGTAAGAATTACATCAATAGTTATTATAATTTAATGTGTGTCATTTTTGTGCTTATAATTTTGTTTGTTGTGATTTTGACATTGAACTTTTACCATTGTCTCAAAGGAAAATGTTTTAGATCCTTCATTTTGGACTCCCAAATCAATCCCAAGTAATGTGTCATAAACCACATCACTTGCCCCCACTTAAACATAAAAACTATTTAATAATTGTTTGTCATGCCATTAAGGGTCCAAAATGGGGAGATGTAGCATTACTTAGACCTCGTTTGGGAACCTTCTATTTTAGTTAAAAAGTCAAAAAGTAACTAAATTAGTTAAAAAGCTAACAATCCATACCAAAAAGTCAAAGATTCTCTTTTCTCTCTACTTTTTGCACATCTTTTCGTGAAAAGCCAAAAAGCCATCCCAAACATACTAGTTTTTTTTTAGCTCATATTTTAACCAAATAGTCAAAAAGTTATTAAATTAGCCTGTTCCCAAACGGCGCCTTAGTCTAATTGATTTTAATTAGGGGTAATTACCAACTACTCCCATTAAGCCTGTGTTTGGCAAGTGGGTTTGCAGGTTTTTTTGGCTATTTTAGCCACAAAAAACAAAATAGGCTATTTTAGCCATAACAAACAAAACATCACATCCAACCCATAATCATTACATTCTTCTCTCACAAAAAAACTCAAAAAAGCCAAAAAGTCAAAAAGCTCTTCCCAAACCAAGCTTTTAAGCCCAGACTAAAATAACCAAAAAAGTCAAAAAGCCAAAAAGCCAACCCACTTCCCAAACGGAGGCTAAGTAGATTTAAATACTATTAAGTTCAATTAATTTTTTTAATGCACCAATAAGTTCTACAATATTTATACTTATTATGTTTTTTCATCATCTCTCTTTATCCCTCTCTCTACTATTTATTCTAAGGTTTCGCGCTACTATTATCTACCACCACTGCCGTTGTCGTCATCTACTCACCGCCACCACCATTATCGTCGTTGACCCATTATCTTTTTTTCTCTTCTCCATTTCTCTCTCTCTCTCTACTATTTTTTCAAAAGTTTCACACTAACATTATCTACCACTACCCCCATCTACCCACCACCACTAGCATCACCATTCACTAATTATCTCCACCATCATCACATCATCACAGATTTACACTTTATCGTTGTAAATCTACACTCCATCGTCACCTCACCGATTTATCAAACCATCATATCACTATCGTCTCATTTATTTCAGATTTATTTTTCAATAATAAATTTACGAGTCTCTCTTGTTTTTTGTGTATATGGAAAATGATAGTAAATTCTTGTGATTGAGTGAATATAAGTAACAACAGTAGATATTAATGAATATATTTATGGTGATAAATTTATTCGTCAAGACTTACACATAAATAAGTCTGATTAACAGAATCGGCCAGTAAATATTCCTTTTAATTATTACACATGAATAGCATGTATCATACTTTTAAAGTCAAAATGTAAATTTGACCAATTTAGTTACTTAAGCTCAATCAACTCAATAATTATTTTTGTCAAAAATCTATTCATGTGTAATAATTAAAAGAGATATTTACGGGTTGGTCTTGTTAATCAAACTTATTCACCTATAAATCTGGACTGGTAAATTTATTATTGTAAATTTATTCATCACTATTCACAATCCCTACTCATATTCACTTGTTCACTTATAATAATTTACTATCCTTTTTCATATATATAAAGAACAAGAGGGACTAGTAAATTTATCTCTAAAAAATACATCTAATGGTGATTAAGATCGGTGATGATGGAGTGTAGATTTATGACGATAAAGTATAGATCGGTAATAATAAAGTACAGATCTGTAATAATGGTGGAGATATTTGGCAAATAGTGATGGTAGTGGTGGGTGGACGACGATAACGGTGGTGGTGGTAGTAGTGGGTAGACAATGATGACGGTGGTGGTTGTAGATAATAGTAGTGTGAAACTTTGGAAAAAATTGTGGAGAGAGAGAGAGAAAGGGGGAAGGAAAAGAAGATGATGGGTGAACAGTAACAATGGTGGTAGCGCTGGGTAGACAACGACAGCAACTGTAGTGATAGACAAACAAAATTATAAACACAAAAATGACAGACATTAAAATATAACAAGTATTGATGTAATTTACTCTCAAAAACATATATACAAAAGGTCTATATTTGTAATTTAACTTAAAATAAATCTAAATTACAAAATATAATATAATTTTTTATTCTAAACAGATATATCTCTGTGTTTGTTGTTAGAAACTTTTTTATAGTGTTAATCTTCGGATTCTAGAGGGTCGGCGTTAAGATCCAAACCCGTGTCCTCTTCTACCTCTTTGACCCGGCCCTCCTCTGCCTCCGTCTCCGCCTCCGCCTCCGCAAAATCTTGTCGCTCGAACGACGGAGCGCTCGACGTGGACAACCCCTCCGCCACCACTTCACAGCGGCGACGGCCTCCATCGCCGCCGCGACCATTCTCAAAGTACCTGACTGCCACCTGTATCCGCCTCAGAATCGCATAGAACTCCTCTACCTCATCGTCCTCCGGCTCCGGATCAAGCTCCGTCACAATTCCGTTATCTTCGCTGACTAACCTCATCCTCTTTCCATCAAGTTCTCCGTCGTCAGCCCGTTTCCTCTTCTCGGCCTCCATGTAATCGGAGAGATGAAGCAGTTAAACGTCGTCGTTCAGCGGGAGGGATGGTTTCAGAGAAATGGGGTTATCTTGTTATGTTATGCTTAGGTTATTATTGGGTGGTTGTGTCGAAGTCGTGTTCGTATTTATAAAGGAAAGGGAACCTGCGAGGTGGTGGGGGGCCGGTGTTTTGTGTCTCAATTGTCAAAAGCCTGATGAACGGCTGCGATGGTTGTTGTTGAGGTGGTGACGTCATTTAGCTGATGTCATCAACCAACAAAAGTGTCACAACCGGTAATCGAGAATATATATATATATATATATATATCTATGGGAGTAAACTTCCCCTCCGTCCTAGATGGGATTGAAAGGGCTTGTTAGGTTGATGGTGGCTTATTATAAGTCTTTTTTTTTTGATAATTTAAATTGTTGAATATGTAGAATTTATTGAATGTTATATATTTATAAAAAATTACGTTAATCGAATATTGATAATTATATGATCAAATCAGTTTTGTATAAAAAAAAGGATGATAAACAAATTATCGATTGACAGAAAACTGATCTGATGAGATAGTTATCAATATCCGATCAACGTGATATTTTATAGATATATAATACTCGACAAGTTCTATATATTGAACTGTTCAAATTATCAAAACGGAACTTGTGATAACTCTCTACGAACCCAATAGCACACACTCTGTGTGTGTGTGTGTGTGTGAGAGAATTAGCATGTAGTTTCCGAACTGAACTAAAGGTTGGTTTGGAATTTGCCTTTTTTTAATGTTTTCTTTCTAACCTTTTTTTTATGAGTATGTGTGTAAAAAATAAAATGAATGGCTTCACGTTTTGTATTATTTTTGATTTTTTAAAATTATTTTAGTTAATTGACAAACATTCCATAAGTAGTAAAAAAATTTAGAATAAATTATAAATACATCCCTTGTGATTTATTTAAAATATAATTTATTTTTTATGATTATGAAAATTATATTTCACTCTTTAATGTTTTTAATTTCGTAGCCTCTTTTGGGGTGGTAAAAAAAAGCCAGTTTATTGACTTATTGACTTATTTGGGTCATATAAACTCTCTACTTTTTTTGTATATTTTTTCATAATAAGCTAGTACGTCCAAAAAAAGTTTCTTCCCAAAATAGGCCTTTATAACCTTTTTTATTCATAAATTATTAAGTTAATTAACAATTTTTAAATATGTCAAAAATTTATTTCAACTAATAATTCCGATAATTTTACCATTGTATAGGAGAGCAGTTAAGTATTTTATTTTTCCTGTTAAATAAAATTTTTTGATGAGGGGATATTTGTAATTTTCTAAATTATAAGAGGTAATTTGTATTTTAAACAAATTTTAAAGATGTATCTATAATTTATTCAAAATTTTATTAATAAAATATATTAATTCACATTTTTTAGATAGTTAAGAAATAAAATATGACTCGTTTAGTATGTATTGTAGTTTTTATTTTTTATTTTTTTTATTAACAATGAATAATACTATGTGAACATTATCTCATGGCATTTTGGAAGTACCTAACAATTTTCTTTCTTCCTATCTTAGAACATCTCCAATATTATTAAAGACATTGGACAAATTATAAATACACTCTCTGAGATTTGTTTAAAATACAGATTATCTCTTGTGGTTTGAAAAATTACAAATACATCATTATTAGTATTTTTTATTTAACAGAATTAACTAAAAAAATAAAATTCATAATTGCTCTCATACACAATAATAAAATTACTAAAATTATTAATTGAAACATATTTCTAATATCCTTAAAAACTGTCAATTGACTTGATGATTTATTAACAAAAGGGACGATTTGTTATGAAATTAGAAATCTCAAGGAGTGAAATGTAATTTTCAAAATCACAGGGGCAATTCGTATTTTAATCAAATCTCAAGGGGTACATTTGTAATTTACCCTTAAACATTATACTTATCTAAAAGTTACTGTAATGTATATATTTTATTTTGCCTATCCATTTTTTTTTCTTCATATTTTCACTCTAACTTTGTTTTTTTATTTTAGCGGTTTGTTTAAATGTTATTTACTTTATTAAATGTCACATTAGCAATAAAGATAGAAGAAAAAACAAAAACATAATTGTTAAATAAATTTTACCTAGTCTTTAAATGTTAGTTACATTTAGTTAGTGAACGTGAGTTGAGGCAAAATACCTAATTATATACATAGACGGTTAAAAATGAAAGAGAAAAAACAGATTATATTAGACATTTTAACTAACATGTTTTATATGACTAGTAAGTTATAGATACTCTTCCTCTTTCAATTATATAATTCCCACCGTCCCAACATGAAAATTCTTACTATTAATATCTCCTAATGTCACTGTTATGTCTATGGGTGATTTGAGATTTGTTTATTTAGTGATTTTTTAATTTTTTTATGAAAAAATATACAAAAACAGATAGAAAGATGATGTGATAACTCGTAACAAATAAATAAATAAATTGCTTATTTAGAATGGTGTCAAACCACCTATTAATATTAACTCAATTAAAAAAAGAGTTCTTATCGTGATTTGAAATACAACAATGATGTTCACAATTCAAATAGTTCATCTTGAAAAGACTAATGAATAAATTATTTATATAAAAACTTAAATTGATTGATGATCAATAATTACATAATATAATCAAATTTTATTTAAGATAAAATAAAAATAAAAAAATAAAAAATATGATTTTAATAATAAATTATTTATTTTTAAAAAAATCCAATCTGTTATTCTTCTACAACCAACTCATATCAAAGCAACGCATGCTAAAATTTAACTAAAATAAATTGGAATAAATATAAAAGCCATTATTAAAAAAAGAAAATAAAATAAAAGAAAGAGTGAGAAACACATGTTACATTGACCAAAACAAACGCTCTTCTTATTTTATTTTCTATGGTCTACGAAGTAAGCACACAACACATGGACATGGTTACATTGGCCCGCTGTAAAGCTGCTTCTGCCCTCATACGTCACGCCATCATCACCACCCTGACGCCATCCACATATGTAATCAGACCGTCAACCACTAGTAAAATTGGAAGGGTAAATTACCTTGGTTTATGAGAAATTTCTCCTGTGATTTGAATAATTACAATAACTTCTCTTATTTTATTCGGTAATATCAAGATTCTCTTTAGTGTCAAAAATCACTTAGATGGTGTTACTTTTTCTTTTGAAAATTACTTTATTGCTCTTCCCTTTAAAAATATTAAAAAATATTTTTAAATTGGAGGATAGGTTTAGAGTGTTTGCAAAAGTATTTTTGGATTTATTTTTTTTAAATATTAATTTTTTTTAAAACAACTTCTCTTATTTTATTTGATAATATCAAGATTCTTCTTGCTGTCAAAAATAGGTAATGCTAGGGACACCAAATTTTCTACCAAACAAATGACCAAATGTCTCACATGGGTGTGAGGTCCGCAAGTTTGTGGACCCCACACCCATGTGAGACATTTGGTAATTTATTTGGTAGAAAATTTGGGACCTCTAGCATTTTCCGTCAAAAATTACTAGATGGTGTTACTTTTTCCTTTGAAAATTACTTTATTGCTCTTCCCTTTAAAAATATTAAAAAATATTTTTAAATTGGAGGATAGGTTTAGAGTGTTTGCAAAAGTATTTTTGGATTTATTTTTTTTAAATATTAATTTTTTTTAAATATATAATTTTTATTTAAATATTTTATTTTATTTTGTAAATATTTTAATTTTTGAATTTTAATATTTTAAACTCAAAACGCAATTTAACACTCAAATTGTAACCAAACACATAATTCAAAATTCAATTCAAAAATTATTTTCAAACCTCATAACCAAACACATAACTCAACACTCCACACTATTTTCAAAACTCTACATTCAAATCGTAACCAAACGCATAAATAAAAAATAAAATATTTATAAAATAAAATAAAATATTTAAAATAAAACTATATATAAATTTTTTTATTTTATTTTAAATATTTTATTTTATTTTGTAAATATATTTTTAAATATTTTAAAAAAAATTATGTGTTTTGTTATGATTTGAGTGTAGAGTTTTGAAAATAATGTGGAGTTCGAGTTATGTGTTTTGTTATGATGTTTGAAAATAATTTTGAATTGAGTTTTATGATTGTGTTGGTCAATTCAAAAATTATTTTCAAAACTCATAACCAAACACAAACTTAAAAAAAATACAAACTTATGTTAAATATATTTTTTAAATATTAATTTTAAATTTTTTTATTTTATTTTAAATATTTTATTTTATTTTGTAAATATATTTTTAAATATTTTAAAAAAAATTTATGTGTTTTGTTATGATTTGAGTGTAAAGTTTTGAAAATAATGTGGAGTTCGAGTTATGTGTTTTGTTATGATGTTTGAAAATAATTTTGAATTGAGTTTTATGATTGTGTTGGTCAATTCAAAAATTATTTTCAAAACTCATAACCAAACACAAACTTAAAAAAAATACAAACTTATGTTAAATATATATTTTTAAATATTAACAAATTTTAAAAATTTTATTTTTTATTTTAAATATTTTATTTTATAAATATATTTTTAAATATTTTATTTTTTTTATTATGTGTTTGGTTACGATTTAAGTGTATAGTTTTTAAAATAATGTGGAGTTTCGAGTTATATGTTTCGTTATTAATTTTAAAAATAATTTTTGAATTGAGTTTTGAGTTTGTATTTAGTTACAATTTGAGTGTAGAGTTGTGTTTTAAGTTTAAATTATTAAAATTAAAAAAATTAAAATATTTAAAAAATAGAATAAAATATTTAAAATAAAAATATTTAAATAAAAATTATATATTTAAAATAAAAAATAATTTTTTTAAACATTTTTTAATATTGTAAAAAATAAATCCAAAAATACTGTTTCAAACACTCCAAACCTATCCTCCAATCCAAAAACAGTTTTTAATATTTTCAAGGGAAGGGCAATAAGGTAATTTCTTAAGGAAAAAGTAACACCGTTTAGTGATTTTTGACAGCAGGGGGAATCTTGATATTATCAGGTAAAGCAAGGGAGGTTACTGTAATTATTCAAACCATAGGGAAGATCCTTGTATTTGTCAGAAA